CTTGCTTTCGTTTGGGTAGGGAGTCTCTTTTATCCTCAAATGAGACGTCACAGACCATGCTTTCCTAGTCACCAGGCCCCAGCAGACACAGATGGGGAAATCCCCTTTAAGAAAACATGGGACACAGAGATGCCACGTGGAATCGGCTGGTTTCTAGTGACAGCCAATAGTAGCACCCATGTCAATAAAGGTCTGTTCCTGCTGGTAATGCACACCAAAGCCCTGAGTGCTGGGCATGGGGGGTTAGAGGCAGGAGCAGAGTCTTCACGGGAGCTCCAATGACTGCAAGTTCAGCCTCTTGGCCATTCTGTGAGCTGCCAAATATGCTTGAATAAATTTCTCTTTGGTTTCATCAGCTAGTCAGGTTTCTGCTGCTTTAAAATACAGCTTGTAGCTGGGCAGTGGTGGCGCACGCTTTTAATCCCAGCACTCGGGAGGCAGAGTCAGGAGGATCTCTGTGAGTTTGAGGCCAGCCTGGTCTACAGAGTGAGATCCAGGACAGGCACCAAAACAACACAGAAGAAACCCTGTCTCGAAAAAACAAACAAACAAATACAACCTGCAGTACTAATGTAGCAATCAGCAAATACTTGATATGTCATTGTGCACTGTTCTGAAACAGATATTATTAGTCCCTTTTGTATCAGTCAGCTTTTTAATTGTCCAGTATCAGGACGGTTGAAAAAATGCCCGAGGCAAGTATGAAGTAGAAAGTGCTGATTAACTGACACTTCAGGAGGTTCAAATCCAAGTTAGGTAACCTGTTGGTTTGGGCCTCCCTCAGGTGATATTGGCACAATCTGACCAGACCACAGCCAAATAAACCATTCCCAGCACAAGCCCAGGGTTGTGGATCAAGAAAACCGAACAAGTAAGGCATGGCGGCACATACCTTTGATCCCAGCATTTAGGAGGTTGAGCCAGGTGGACCTCTGTGAGTTTAAAGTCATCTTGGTCTATATAGCAAGTTCCAGGCCAGCCAAGGCTATCTAGTAAGCCCCATCTCAAAAAAAAAAAAAAAAAAAAAAAAAGGCAAGCCCCACGGTCATCTTCAAGGGCATCCTTTTATAAGACCCCACCTCTTAAACCCTACCTCCCAACACCATAGCTGGCCCCACATTTTGCATATGGGAACCTCAAGGACACTTCATCAAAACGAGAATGCTGCCGCGCGGTGGTGGCGCACGCCTTTAATCCCAGCACTTGGGAGGCAGAGGCAGGCGGATCTCTGTGAGTTCGAGGCCAGCCTGGTCTACAAAGTGAGTTCCAGGAAAGGCACAAAACTACAGAGAAACCCTGTCTCGAAAAACCAAAAAAAAAAAAAAACCAAACAAACAAACAAACAAAAAAAAACCAGAATGCTACTGGACAGATGAAAAACAGATTTAGCAATACTGAGTACATTCTACTTAATATTAATGATACTAATTATCAATAACTAATACTGATAGGCCATGTATCTAATAACTCATAGAGCAGAGATTTGAATTCTTCTCTTTTGTTTAAATCTCCAAAGTTCATGTTTCTGTGGTATGTCATTGGAAGCATTCTTTTATAACTGCAAATGTGATTTAGGCTCTACCAGTGGGACACTCAGAACTGCCACAAGAAGAGAGGGAATCCACACCGGGGCCTTAATTGTGGCTACCAATCAGGTACAGCACAGATGGGCCAACAGTGAGGGCGCCCGCTCTGCACTGTGGCCCTTGGGTAACGTGATCTTGGAGTCTGCACTGTGGCCCTTGGGTAACGTGATCTTGGAGTCTGCACTGTGGCCCTTGGGTAACGTGATCTTGGAGTCTGCACTGTGGCCCTTGGGTAACGTGATCTTGGAGTCTGCACTGTGGCCCTTGGGTAACGTGATCTTGGAGTCTGCATGGGGCACTTGGCCGGGTTATTGCAAAGATCTCTTCTGGAGAGGTGGGTTATATGACGAGATGCTGGGAGTGTTCCTGCCAGTCCGGACCAGATGCCTCCTCAGCCAGTACTTGCCACATGGATTACCTCTTCCCTGTGAGTTACTGCTTGAAGACTTGACCGGTTCTTGTGGCCTGCTTCTGAATCCTCTCTAACACAAGCACACGGAAGGGTCAAGTGCCGTCGAAGCCAGGGGAGAATCAACCTCCCAGTGTAACATGTCGTCGTGAAGAACATGGGCTGGAGGGTTTTGGACTGCTGAATTTTCTCCAATGCTCGCAGACTGTTTATTCTTTATAAAGCTAGTCAGCACCACCTGTTTAAGTGGTGTGAGGACATTCAACTCGGTTGAGCACAGAGTGCAAGCAGCGGAAGCCCCTTAGAGACCTCCATAGCTGAGGAGACCCTTAGGAAAATGAAACAAATTTTTCCAAAGTCACACATCCAAAACAGTTGCAGAACGAGAAGGCACACCCAAGGCTAATGATGCCTGCACCAGATCAACTTCCATGACATCAGCTAAAACCCACACTGGACACAAACCGCTCCTTCCCGAGCACCCGACAGTGATGCCGCCGCAGCCAGAGTCTTACGCATCCTCTGTCTAGGTTTTATTCTTATCATCGTCTTAAACATTTGACAGAGAAGCTCAATTCCAAAGACACTGTCCCTAAAAATAACTAAAAGACACGCTGGAAAAAATTAGCATAATGTATTTTTTTTAAAAAACTCTATAATTTACAGTGTAATCTAAAAATGTGTGACAAAGTAATTCTTGTGCCGAGAAAACTCCCCTGGGATGTTTGGTTCCATTTAAAAGCGTCTCGGTATGGGGGTTGAGGGAGCGGCAGCCTGTGGCACTCTTCCACCAGGGTAAAATGTTATTCCTGTGACTCACAGCGAGGGGCCTGACGAACACTCGGAGTCGATATGGAGGTTCTTGCCATCAGGATAAAATGAGAATTGCAGTGGGTGGTCCTAGTCTAGCCTTCTGCTTCTGTCCTGGCTCAGGTGGTTGCCCTGGAAACAGTGGGGTGGCAAACAAATCTATTTGGAACTTTTAAAGAGAGCCTGCACATGAGGCCTGATTTTGATTTGCCCCCCGGCTTTCCGGAAGGCTCTCTTCCTCAGAGAGGGCGTGCCCCTTTGGACTACCTTGAAAGCCGGTGCAGTCCAGCGTCTTTGGCAAGATCCAGTTGGCTGGCTGGCCAGAGTTTGGCAGACCGCGGGGAAAGGGGCTCTGCCGATCATTATTTAGCCTTGGCTCCTCCACACAGATGGTTCTGATCTTCTCCTCCCCCACCTAAGAATTTTTCTAAAATGACACCCAAGTTTTTCTTGGCAGAAGTATCATTCCTGGCAAACAGTTCACTGCAGCTCTAATTATGATGACAGATCTAATGGAGAAGATAATCATATTAAATGGTTCTTATTCTGTTCCGTGTGATGAATCAGTGATTGCCATGAAATGTGTTCAACAGCCAGAAGTAAAGAGAAAGGGTAGCACACCCATGGGACAAGTTAAGATTTTAAGGACTCCAAAATCGGGCAGGAGACGGGCAGAATGATATCCGAGTAGTGCTGGATGTGAGAGCTTGTACCTCACTCACTGATCAAGAAACCCCATTCTCCTCAGGAGTCTTTCATAGCAGACTCGATTCTGACACTTGTACGCACGGCGAAGAAGACTTTAATCAAGAGGATCTCAGTAGGGTGGCCTGTGTCCCAGAAGGTGAGAGGGAACAAGCTCTTGTCTCCGACAAAGACGAGCAGGGGTTGATGGCCACTGAGCAGAGTGGCTGGGAGGGACGCTGGGCTGAGAAGATTCTTTCTAAATTGATTTTCCTGCTTTGCTGCTGAGCACAGCCCACATAACAGAGGAAAGGGGTAAGAAAGGTACTCAGATACCAAGGGTATTCGGGTATCAAACTCCTCAACAGGTTGACGGGGGATGCTTACTAAAACTGGGCTAGGCAAGCCAAAGACAAGCAAACCAGCCAGAGTAAAGGCCCAGTGGAGAAAGGGGTTCAGAGGAGCCAGTTACGGTTTGGATCCAGAATGTTCCCCACAGGCTCAGGCTGGGATACTCAGTCCCCAGCTTGTGGTACTAACTTAAAAAGACATGGGAGACTTGAGGTGGGGCTTGGCTGAGAAAAGAAAGGCCGTCCTTGGAAGCTGTACCTGTTTCTGGGTCCAGTGCCAAGCTCTTGGCCTCCTGGTTCGCCATGATGGAGGAGCACTGTCTCATGTTCCCACCGCCCTGAGCTCTGCCATGCCTTCCCCGCTGTGACGGACTAGACCACTTCTGTCGGGTCGTTTGGTCACAGAGAAGCCAAGGTAACTAATGTAGATGCCAAGGGAAAACACTCCCTGATACAGGATGGGCAAGGGCTTCCTGACAGGGTTCTAATAGAATAAAAAACAGCTCTAAGAATTGACAAACGGGACCTCATGGAACCAAAAAGCTTCTACACAGCAAAGGAAACAATTAAGGGAAGAGACAACCACCCAATGAGAGAAAATCTTTGCAAAATCTACATCTGACAGAAAGTTACTGTATAAAATCTAAAAAGAACTTCAAAACTTAACTATCACAAAACAATCTAATCAGTACATGGGTGAATAAAATGTACAGACACATCCCAAAAGCTGGGCAGATGGCCAGAAGATACCTGGGAAAATGGTCAGTGTTCTTAGCTATTAGGGGAATGCAAATAGAAACAGCTAACCACTTAGCCGTTTCTCCAGCATCCTAATAAAGATTCTGAAATAGCCTCATTCATTTAGTCAAAGGTTAATTTGGAAAGCTGAGAGTGGTGCACACCTTTAATCCCAGCACTTGGAAAGCAGAGCCAGGCGGATCTCTGTGAGTTCGAGGCCAGCCTGGTCTACACAGTGAGATCCAGGACAGGCACCAAAACTACACAGAGAAACCCTGTCTTGAAATCTTTGTTTTGTTTTGTTTTTTGTTTTTTTCGAGACAGGATTTCTCCATGTAGTTTTGGTGCCTGTCCTGGATCTCGCTCTGTAAACCAGGCTGGCCTCGAACTCACAGAGATCCGCCTGGCTCTGCCTCCCGAGTGCTGGGATTAAAGGCGTGCACCACCACCGCCTGGCTACTTAGATGTTTTTATTCAAATAGGATAGTGTTCATCCATAGAAAGCCTACTTACTAAACTATTGATGTACAATTATATGTTTTCATTTTATATTAATGTATGTCTTTGGTTTTTTTTCCCTATAAAATTTATACGAGGAAAAGAAACATTCTCATTTGTTGTTTAAGCAACAATAAACGTAGTTACAACGTGTTGTGACCGAGGGTTTGTTTGCGGGGAGGGAGGATGGCTTCCGTGGTGGAAGTAGCCTTCTTTATTCTCACCTTTTCGAAACCCAAATCCCGCTATGCTTTCTCTCATTTCCGCAAAAGATGTGCTGTTCCCGAGGAGATACTTTCCCTGCTGGACTTGAAAGAGATGGAGAGGGTTCCTTGCCAGAGGCCTGCTTGAAAAGCCATCATGGTGGTCTTAACTCATCAGTAATGTCTTATGGACATTATTCATCTTTTTTACGTATTTGTGTTCACGTTTGTGTGAAGACCTGAGTCCTAGAAAGGGATGTGGTAGTGGGAGCCCGGAACAAGTCTGACGCCGGAGCTAAAGAGGGGGAGAGTCCAGGGAAAGCATCCTTGGGGGAGGAGCTGAATTAATTGCCTGTTAAATCCAAAGCACAGTCATATATGTGAGGGGAAAGAGAGAGAGGAGGAGGGGAGAGGGAAAATAGGAAAGGGAAGGAAAAGAGAGATGCAGAAGGAAACAGAGGGAGGGAGGGAGGGAGGGAGAGAGGGAGGGAAGAGATCAAATGTGAGGGCAAACTGGAAGCCCAACTGAGAAGCAAGTTAGACATCATGACAGAGGAAGAAACTAAACATTGAGATGCTTTTGTGGCTTTTTAAACATGGGTGCCAGCAGCCCTAGCCTGTGGATGGAAACTCTAACCTGGCCATTCTTCCACTGGCTGTATCCTGTAGTTTGTGCAGTTTGAGTGGGTTCTCAGCCGGGGTGGGGGCGTGTCACATCTCCACATCCAGTTGGTTTCCTTCTTAAGAGAAGGACTGGAATGAGCTGTGGTACTGATGAGGATCCAGAGCTTTGAAAACTGGGCTCTTCTAGCTCAGCTGCAGGATGAAGGGAAGGACGTTAAGTCTAGGGAAATGCCTCAGTGCAGGGCTAGAAGAAACTGGCAGAAACAAACCTCATCATTCCTTTTATTACCAAAGCAGTAGCAACCAGAAGACAACTGTGGTGTTTCCCATCATCGTGTTCACTAGCGTTCTCCTTTCCATCCTGTGATGGCAAACCCGTTCTGGATTCCAAGTCCTCTTAGACCTTGCCACTGGCGGCCAGGATCCTCCCTCACTTACGGAAAGTCTTTCCAGCACTCGTTCTCTCCAGCATCTCAATACTTCCCTTTCTAGCCGTCCATTTCGGCAGCTACCTACCTATTAATTACCCATCATCTATATATCTTTTCCCCACCCACTGTCTATATATATATATTCATCTGTCTATTCATCCATCCGCCGTCTATCTACATTTTTGTATCTGTGTTTTATTTCATCTTAAATATGTTCTCCCTAGAATACCTGCTCTTCTCTATCTACCCGCTGCCGCTACTCAGCTCTCTACACCAGCTGAGCCAGCCTCTCATTGGACCTCTTGGTGGCCCGAGACTGCACCCTGGCTCAGTTTGGCTGTGCACTGTCGGTTTCTTTGAAGCCTGCAGCCAGCCTCTTTTCTCTTTTTCCCATTTTTTTTTTCCGGAGCTGAGGACCAAACCCAGGGCCTTGCACTTGCTAGGCAAGCGCTCTACCACTGAGCTAAATCCCCAACCCCTCTTTTTCCCAATTTTTGAGTCATTTAAACTCTATTCTTTAGATACACATGCTCACTTTGTGGGAGGTCTTAACCCAGGGCTTTAACTTGTATCTCTGTCAATAGCTCTCCGATCTATGTTTTTCAGTCCTGACATTTTCCTTAGCAAATCTCTCTACTTGACATTTCCATCAGATAACTAATAAGCATTTCAAATCAAACATTTTCCAAATAGAGCTTGATCGTCTCTCCCAAACTTGTTTGTCCCAGTTTTCTCTGTTGTAGCGACTGGTCTTACTTATCTTACAGCTCAGCTCATATACTTACACCTATATGGCGTCCAAGCCCAGTTATCAGAGCCCCTGCCGCTGGCCGGTTGACCTCTTTGTGAAGACCAAGACCGAGCATCCTGGATATTCCTAGCAGATGATGGCCAAAAGCGGTGCTGCGGTCTCTGCTCATGGCTCTGCAGCATCTGGTTGCAGATGAAATGGCAGATCCAAAGCGCTTGGAGAAGGTGATCGGTTCTGCACTTCTGTATCTAATTAACCACCCCAGCCTGGTGGACAAGAGATCTTGTTCTCAAGAGGGTGGCAATTAAACTTTTCCAAAAGCCAGTTTCCTAAAGAAGGCCTGTCCCCCTGGGGCACAACGTCCCCATTTCAATGGCTGGAGACTGTCAAGTGGATTGGGCTGTTTCGGGTAGATTAGGAAAGACTGAAAGAATTACACAAGTAGTTCTAATTACTTTGTAGAAGGCTTCCTTTGCACCTGAGAACCAAGAAAACCTTTTCCTACTGAGCAAGCCAAAGAGAAGAAATGAGGGAAGAATTGTCTGCTAAACGCTAGGAGTTGAGCCATCTGGTAATGAGACCTGTGGGCCCTGACTCCAAGACTCTGAGTAAAGAAGCACAGAGCAGCTATTTTGGCCGGACAGCTTGGTCCAGGAACACCGCCATTTTCTTGGACATGTACTTTTCAGGGCTGGCCTGCAGGTGGTGGTGCAGCCCACAGAGGACTGTACAAGCAAGCGACGGATAGGATGTTAGACCTAGGTAGGTGTCTGTATTAGGATTTCGTCCAAGTGTGTCTTGCCCACTTGCTTCCGGATATGATTCACTAAGCATGAGGGAATGACAATGACGATGGAGCAGAATGAGACCTTAGCCTGCCAAGTAGCTCCTTGCCTATTGATCTCAAAACCTCTTCCTCATCCAGACTAACGACAAGAGAGAAGGCCCTTTCAGGATGTGCTTAAAATGTCCTTTCTTGTTAGGTTGTGAGTATCCACAAAGAAGGCGTCTATGGGGTTAAGTGGCCACTTCTCTCACCATGCTGGTGTAGCTGGTCCCTAGGCTCAACTGAGGAGGTGAGCATCTTCTTCAGACAAGTCAATCATTGTTCTTGTCCAAGCTACCATCTATGTGTACCGGGGTCTGTCCGAGCTGAGAAGGCCCATGGTATTACCTGGATCCTCATTGGTCAGCGATTCAGTGATGAGAGTTTCTACTCTGAAGTGGGGACCACTGCAGTGTTTTGTTTTGTTTTTTTCTCCCAGTCTAGACTTTTGAGGTAACTATCCCTGAAATTCATGGTTCCAGTCATCTGACTGTACCCCCTTCCCCGCCCCATTCAGCTAATTCTTGGCCAGAGCCCGCTGAATGTACCTCTGTGCTCTCAAAACCAGGGTGTCTGTCAGAACACTCGGGATTCACAGGATCACCTGTGCAACACGAAGCCTCGTGAGCTCAGCAGAGGCAATGGCTCACACTCATCTGTCAACTCGCCTCCCACTCATCGCCAAGAATCTGGCCTCTGGCCTTCTTGTGTCTTCTTCTGTTCCTTTTTCCTTCCACTTGGGATCGGGTGGGGCAGGCAGTCTTTCAGCAGGTCACTCGTTCAGCATCTCCTTGCGAGCTATAGCAGTGAGCTACATTGCCTGTCTTCCGTGGGCAGAAAGGATCTTTTTCAGACTTAAGAAAAGACACCAAAAATTGTACCCAGCCCCATCTTAGTTATTAATAAACTTGAACCTAAGAAATCCTTCTGGTCAATGTCTAAGTCTTGCTGTGAAACTGATGCAAAATGTGATCAAAGCAGAGATCAGAACTTGACTGTTCAAAGCTATGCTCTCCGTCAAGCTCCAAGTGGGTGTTTACATTAAAAACAAACAACTGGGGGCTGGAGTTAAGAGCTCAGCAGTTCAAACTGCTTGCTGTTCTCACAGAGGACGTGAGTTCGGTTCCCGGCACCCACATTAGGCAGCTTATAACTGTCCATAACTCAGTTCCAGGGGAATCAGACACCTCTTTGCACCCACAAGCATATACCACCCCACCCTGGACACAAACGCGTAGTTAAAAACGAAGCCTTCAAAAAGAATAATAAGATAAATAAACTTAATTCAAATATAAAAATTCAGGCTCCTCAGTCGTACAAGCCGCAGCTCAAACCTTTAGTAGTTGTCTAGGTAGGGAAGAGCACGACTGCTCTCCTGGAGGACAGCTGCTCTCTCCGGGAGCTCTAAAAGCCTCTGTCTAGATGTGTGGGAAACTTCCTGGAAGCATAAATTCTACCAGACACGGCGCTACATCTAAAAAGATATTCTCAAACAACTATTCATGATCTTCTCGCTCTGGACTCCCAAGAGGCTGGCTTAGCAAGCCTCGCCCACTTTCTCAAGGGCCAGGGCTGTTCTCTGTCCCTCCTTACAGGAGGCTGTATGAGTTCCAAGGCCCCAAGATTTTATCCATGAGCTGCTTGAGATTTCAATACAGCCACATCGGAACATTAATCCAAGAAGAGGGTCCTCTGAGTGTGGGGCCGAGTGTGGCTGCATAGTTTCATACCTACAAAGCTGGCCCTGCTCTGAGATAATCACACCCAAAAGAGAAATCAAGGCAGCCCTGTGGGCTTACTAAGGAATTTACTCATGAGCGCCAACGCCAGAGTCCACAGCTGCACCAGTGTTGGCCAAGCTCAGACGTTAATTCAGACATCTGCTCAGGGAATGTCTGTGGCGGGAGCGAGCTGTCCGGCCAAAAAGAAGTGGCAGGAAGCAGGGCCTTAGGATGTATTGGAAAGCCAACTCCTGGAAGGTCTGAGTGTGCCAGGCGCCTCCAGATGCATATGTTTCCATCACAGCCAGGGGCGTGCCCAGCTGGGAAGGCTGAGACTTGTCACTTCATTTCGGAGAACTGGAGAACAGGGAAAAGACGGCACACCCAGGGCCTTCAGCACTGGGAATGGCATCCTGGTTTCCTACCTGGACTCTGAGTGTGGCAGACTGTGGGGTCTAATCTGCCTCCATCTGAGAGAAGAGGTTTCTAGAAGAGATCAGGACATCAGAGCATCCAAATAAGTCATCAGTGCAGAAAATCTACCTGTCCATCAACCAGAGGGAAACCTAGGAACAAAAAATGAAAGGACTGAAGTGGAGGGACATATTTAGATGTTCCAAACACTTTTTAAGAACAGTTCATTCCCAGCCGGGCGGTGGTGGTGGCGCACGCCTTGAATCCCAGCACTTGGGAGGCAGAGCCAGGCGGATCTCTGTGAGTTCGAGGCCAGCCTGGTATCCAGAACGAGTTCCAGAACAGCCAGGGTTACACAGAGAAACCCCAAAAAAAAAAAAAAAAAAAAAGAATAACATGATCAAAGTATACTTCAGGAAATTCTCAAGGAATTGATAATAACATTTGAAATAAAAAGACCAAAGAGATAACACAAAAACAACAATGGAGTCATTCTGGTGGACCTTTGGGTCATTTGAGGGTCAGGCAGAACGGTCACTGTTTCAATACCTTTGGGCAGATGAAGGCTGACCCAGACAGAGCCCATGGGGGTGAGGTCTGGATGCCTTCTCTGTGAAAGTCCAGAAGCTGCACACAAAACTCTGAGCTCTGTGAGATGTGGGTTCCAGAGACCCAGGAGACATCCTTGAAGGGGACCCTTGAGGTGCTAGGCCCGTCATGAAAACAAGAGAGCTCAAAGGCCAGACTTCTCCCAGTTTGGGAGGTAGCATGGAAGCCTGAGACTTCAGTTTCTCTAAGGTTTTTCCATTTCATCCTGACTTGTAATTCCAGGAGAAAAGAAAGGGAAAAGTAAAGAAAAAAACAAAATAAAAAACTGAATCAACCCAACAGAAGGTAGTAAAGAAGATGATGTTGAAGAATGTAAATATAAAACAAAAGGTAAGTAATTTTTCAATAATAAAAATGCATATTACTATTCTAAGACTGAATTTGCCAGCTAAGGACAGAAATCTCAGAATATTTCTTTATATAGACATGGTCTTATTATGTCACCCAGACAGTCCTTGAACTTCTGGGCTCAAGGGTTCTTCCTAACTCAGCTTTCATAGTAGCTGAGGCTACAGGCATGTGTCATTGTGCCCAGCTGAGCTTCATAGAGTTTTTAAAAATTTAGCTATAGGCCGGGCAGTGGTGGCACATGCCTTTAATCCCAACACTCAGGAGGCAGAAGCAGGTGAATCTCTTGAGTTTGAGGCCGGCCTGAGCTACAGAGTGAGTTCCAGGACAGGCTCCAAAGCTACACAGAGAAACCCTGTCTCAAAAAACAAAAACAACAACAACAAAAAATTTAGCTATATACTACTTCTTTTTTTTTTTTTTTTTGGTTTTTCGAGACAGGGTTTCTCTGTGTAGCTTTGCGCCTTTCCTGGAACTCGCTTTGGAGACCAGGCTGGCCTTGAACTCACAGAGATCCGCCTGGCTCTGCCTCCCGAGTGCTGGGATTAAAGGTGTGCGCCACCACCGCCCAGCGCTATATACTACTTCTAAGAGGTACACCTAAGACATGATAATTCAGAGAGGTCATTATATAAAGAAATGGGCAAAATACATTAGAAAAAATTATTTTAATTAAATATATAACAATATTATCATTAAGTTTTCAAATTGGTTGGAAAAATATAATGGATAAGGGATGCCATTGCATAGTGGCAGAAAGATTAAATGAATAATTCACAATGAAAGAATGCCATTTGAAGCCTATGTGTTGGGGCAGTGCATGTGTATGATGTCAAAAATCACAGAGAAAACAAGAAATTCAAAATCCTGCTGTGGGTATAAATAACAACCTTAATTCTCCTAAGTCACGGGGAACACATTCTCTCTAGCCCACGGGCAACTTGTGCAGAAGCAAATTTCTAGCAAATACTGATGACCAAAAGTCACCTCAGACATGTTTTCTCATAGTTCAATACACTTAGAAATCAGCATAATAATCACATTATTGCCATTCACTTCAGAACTCCTAACTACTACTGGAAAAATGCAAATTAGCAAATTTTAGTGCAGCTCAGATAATGAATACACAGTACCAAGATATATAGAACTTTTTAAAAAAAAGATTGATTTATTTATTACGTATACAGTATTCTGTCTGCATGTATGCATGCAGGCCAAAAGAGGGCACCAAATCTCATTACAGATGGTTGTGAGCTACCATGTGGTTGCTGGGAATTGAACTCAGGACCTTTGGGAGAGTGGCCAGTGCTCTTAGCCATTGAGCCATCTCTCCAGCCGCAATATATAGAACTTTAAAGGAATATAATAGAAAGAAAATGAAGCATGTATCCTAAATATTAAATAAAAAAAAATCTGAGGTGAGCTGGGCAGCAGTGGCCCACGCCTTTAATCTCAGCACTCGGGAGGCAGAGTCAGGCAGATCTCCGTGAGATCGAGGCCAGCCTGGTCTACAGAGCAAGAACCAGGACACCAAAGCTACATGGAGAAACCTTGTCTCGAAAAACAACAACAAAAAAAACCTAACCAACCAACCAAACAAAAAAACAAACAAACAAACAAACAAAAAAAAGAGAAATGACTCCTACTCCTAAGTAAAGCCAAAATCACTATTCTGACTAATATTTTATATAAACTGTAAGCATAGCCTTATGTCTGCCTTCCTCCCAAGTGACTGCTGTTCGTCACAAGCATTCACTAATAAGTTCCTTACACCCAGTCAGAAGCATACACACTGCCCGCTGTGCGTGCCTTAACTGTGCATCTATTTATACGGGATGACGGGTACTTTCCCCAATAAATCTCACCACTTCTCCTGCTAAGAAACTTGGTGACACATGGACTCATCCCTACACTTTCCCCAACAGTAAGAGGAATCGACACACGGCAGAGTTTGGCTACAAACATGAACAGCTCTGGGGTATATCAGAAGCGAAGGGCATGCAACAAAATCCATCTTTCTAAACTTTCCTCCCAGCAGCTTGAGCAAAGGCGGGAAGGATCTGGAGACCTCGGGGCGGGTTATGTCCGCTAGTCTGTGATCAAGAAGAAAACCCTGAGTCGGCCAGATCTAGAGCTCAACTACTTCCCACAGCGAGCCTTCCCGTGTGTAATATTACATTTCAAAAGCACTATGTCTTTGTGAGCCAGTTACTTTCCTAGAGGCCTGACTTTAATCCCCGTCAAACCAAGGACCACACTGGGGACAATGTCCCTGCCTTCTGCTAGAACAGCTACGACCCTCCTGGAGATAAGGGGAGACTTCTGCTTTATACCAGCTTGCAGATGACGATGGCGAGGAAGCTGGGGAGAGGCTCGGGGTGCAGCCGGGGTGAGGGGTCGGGGTGGGGGGAAGTTGGGGGGTGGCGGGGTGGGGTCAGGGGAGAGGAGAGAGGAGCACCATGCTCGCCTCTTTTTCGTGTCTTTCATTTCACAACTTCTTCCTTTCCATGCCTGCTGGGGCGCTTGCTTGCCTTGCGTCGGAGCCAAAAGACAGGTCAACTCCATTGCAGCTTATCCAAGTTGGCAGAGGCTGTGGCAGCAGGGTGGTAACTCTGCCCGATGTTCCCAAGCTGTGGCTGGGACGCTTCCAACAGCAAAGTCACTCAGTAAACAGTCCTCTGTTTCTTCCTTGGGTTGGCGGAGATATCACTGGGCCCTTGTACTACCCACTCCTTACTTTTCAAGAAGCCCACAGACCAGAAACTTCCCAGGTCTCCCTGTCTTCAAAGAACCTTTGGGTAGGTATAAAACACCTCTGACATGCCGTCATTTCTACTCTAAACCCAATACATGGCTTCCTGGGGATCTCTACGTTGGGTATTATTTCCTGTACATCACTGAGTTCAACACTCAAAAACTTAATTTAATGTCTGTGTTAAGCCTGGCTTTGCTCCAGAGTAGGGTGGGGGCAGGGAGACAAATAAATACTGCTCTTAATAGTGTTTTATTTATTTATTTTTTTTTTTTTTAGGTTTTTTCGAGACAGGGTTTCTCTGTGCAGCTTTGCGCCTTTCCTGGATCTCGCTCTCTAGACCAGGCTGGCCTCGAACTCACAAAGATCCGCCTGCCTCTGCCTCCCAAGTGCTGGGATTAAAGGCGTGCGCCACCACCGCCCGGCAATAGTGTTTTATTTTTAAAAGTGTACAAACTGATTGGAGACAGAAACACCCAGGTGGAATTAGTACAGCACCGAGAAAAATGTCTATAATCATCAAAAGCATGGGGGTAAAGATGGGAGAGACATGGTGGCCTGAGCTGGAGATGGGTTTGCAAGAGGGGCGGAGGATTAAGGAGGACTTACCTGGGGGGAAAGATAGTCAAGGCTTGAGAGGCTGACCCCAGTAGAGCAGACTGAGACTATCAGACCAGTCTAATAAAGCAGCTTGGACCCCAGAAGATAGGAAAGCACACAAGCAAATCAAAGCCAGGAACCAGCGTAGAGCAATAAGCCCTCAGACTCCCTTATCTTGATACGTGTTGAGTCCCAGAGACCAAAGGAGCCTCTTGAACCACGTTTTCCACGCCATGCTTTCATTTTACAGGGGAGAGCCGAGGCTTAGAGCACGAAGCTATTTCACCATCTCAAGCAACAGAGAGATCCGAGCCAGAGTGGAAAGTCACCTCCAGCACTCTGGATTCCACTGTTCACACCCTGCTTCCACACCACACTGCTATACCCAGATGGCACAAGCCCCGCCAGGCCAGTGACATGCTAAGAGTAAGGACGTAGGTCTCAGGCAGAAGTATCCGGAAGGGCAAAGCTCACTCTGTGCACAGATCTCGACTTTTCTTGAAGTTCACTGCATGTTGTATCACATTCCAGTGGCTCTGATTGACACTCAGGATTTTCCATTGGCCCCACCCAGCCTTTATGACCTTCATTCCCAACACTCCCCAACCTCTAGTCTCCAGCCAGATGCTCCACTCAATCCCCTGGCTTTTGCTGGGCCCCTGCATGTGGCTGGGACACTGCCCTCTCATCCCCTTCTCCCCCAAGGCTGCTTTCCCTATTACTACCTAGATGTAAAGTTCAGGACTCAGGCTGCCTCAAGTCTCTTCTACACCATCGTTTAATTCTAGGCAACCTGATTCGATTCATTTCAACACACTTTACAAGGGACCTATCATGTGTCAG